GGACTCAAATCACCCGCGGGCCGGACTCAGGTCACCCGCGGGCCGGAAGTGGCCCGCGGGTCGCAGGGTGAATAAAAATCAGTAAACAGTGTCAACATCGCATTATTCAGTGTTTTAAAATAAAACTTGTTCTGATATTTTAAATACGTTGTTTTAGTTAAGAAATAAAAAACCTGCATGATTGTGGAATAATAAAATATATTTTTTAGCGTTCAAGCGCTTTACAAAGGACCGGTGACGTCATATCCGCCCGCCATCTTGTTCGGGTTTAAAAATGTTAAACTTGCGCTTCTTCATCTAAAACGAGTCAAGTCTTGAAACGTAAACCGTCGCTCCGTGAATCAGTTTGAATCATTTTACATGTTTCATCAAGTTCTGTCTGCTCGACCCCCACGCGCAGCGGATTCACCTTCAGCTCTGTCGAAAGTGACGAACGCCACTCCGTCCATGTCCGTGGGGAACGTGACCACGTCCACGTCCCCTCCGTGGCTCCTCCTGGCTCTCTGGAAGTGAACCGTCAGCTTGTCCGCCATCCGGCCGGCCGGCAGCGCGCGGGGCACCCCGGACACGACCACCGTCCTGCCCGCCGCGGCCATCGCAGGCGGGCGATCGTGTTCTCCAGCCTCGCCGAGGCTCCAACCAGCAGTCGTTTCACTTTCACCCGCTGCAGTGGCGCCATGCGTCCACGTGGGGTCACTGTTCACCAGCAACTGAACCGCAGCTGTTCCGTTCACTTGTCCGAGTCACTCGAAGTGATTCGGTTCATGTTCCATGCGCAAATAAAGAATCGATTCCCTTTAAACGATACAGACCAAAATCAGTGCACGTGAGCATTTTTGAATGTCGTCCAACAATTCTATTAATACGGTACATTTAGTTTAATAAAACTTTGTCACCAACATTTTATACATGTGGGGCAGCTGACCCAGGACCTGAAAGCCCAGACTTGATCTTCAGTCTTTGCACAGCCGGTTGTTTCTGAGCAGGACACCTCATCCCCCTAATCGCCCCCTGGGTGAATAATTCCTCTTTCTGGATGTAAATCAGCTTTTTTTTTTATGATTATTCCCTCTGGTACCTGATGCTGTGCAGCTGGAAGGACTTTTACTGAAACCTTTTTACGTTTGGACATTTATGATGCAACAGAGATGCACCGATCCGATACCAATATCGGGAAAAAGTTCTGTATCGAGTATCGTGACAACGTGACCGATCCTGACTGGTCAGATCTAGTCACTAACTCTATGCTTTGTGCTCTGAGTGACGTCACTCTTCGGTGAACTCGCTGCACAGATTGTTTTCAAAATGGAGCGAGCGAAAGGATCATCCATCCGGAACGATTTCACACGACATCAGCCAACACATTCGACAGATACGTGCACTGCGACGGTTCCAGGGGGTGTCACCAAAACTTCCAGTTATAACACAACCAACCTAAAGAGCACGCAGAGTTTGTTGAACAGAATTCAGCACCGTTTTTTCTGCATCAGATCCGTATCGGACGAGTCGAAACTATCGTAAGTGGAAAAAGTGGATCGGTGCATCCATAGTAAACATAAGGTGCTTTTTTTTTACAACCGGGAGCAGCTGATTAACATGTCAAAAGCGCATACTACAGGCCCAAATCTCAAAGGAGTTGAAAAGGAGGCACCATGGATACATTCCCATCTACCTGCTGGCTAAGCTCGAATGCCTGACCACTGAGGTCCTGGAACTAGCAGGAAACGCAACAGTAAAACTGATAGTAGAAGGACTGGGATCGTCCCCCAGCACCTGCAGCCGGCTGTCCGCAACGACGAGGAGCTCAGCAGGTTGCTGGGAGGAGGGGCCATCGCTCTGGGAGGAGTCCTGCCCAGCATTCAGGTGGTCCTGCAGCCCGGGGGAACCGAGAGGCCAGCTGAGTCTTGGTGGACGGACTCTGTGGCCATTTTCTTCAGATCCGCAGTGAGCCGTACCTGTACAAGAGATCCTTCCTGCCCACAGCCAGCATCGAGGATGAGTTGCATTTAATTTCTCTTTGGGATTAATAAAGTATTTTTGAAATGAATTACTCATCGACTGAAATCAAGTCTATGAACTGACTCGTCTTGAGTCCCGTATTTTTCTGTCTAACTCAAATCAACGACTCGATTCTTTTAGTCTGCAGCATTTCACCTGTCGAGTACCTTGAAGACTTAACGGTAGTCTGTCAGAACACGTAGGATCCAGGTGGACACCACGACGCCCGGATCGATGTGAATTCTCAGATCATTAGCCGAGTGATTCAGTAGCTCAAGCTAGTTACGAATTCCAGTTCCTGTTTTTTGTGAGTCAACTCTTTTTGTTGTGGTGCAGCGGTAGGGCAGCCATCTAGGCATGAGAATAGCAGGTTCAATTCCCCACTTCACCTGTGTGTCATTTTTAGGAAAACACACTGGAAGCTGAAGCCCCCCCCTCAAAGTCTCGCTGCCTCCTGTTGTTGAGAACTGAAGACTTGGGATCAGCTGATATATTTTTGGAACCAGAGTCTGCTCACTGGGGAGGAGGGGCTTTAGGCCCCGCCCACTCCCCCACTCTTTGGTGTCAGATGACTTTTTTATTTAAGCCTGGAAATCCAACTACACTTGTTTGTTTTTTTAAAGAAAAATAAATACTTGACATTAATTTTTTTTAATGTATTATTTTTTTTGAGACATTCATTTCCATGTAGAGGGAGGGGCTTAAAACGTGCCCTGAAACAAGTGGAGTGGATGATTTACCCGTCTAAATAAAGGTCGAGTGGATGCTAGTTCTGTTTTGGCTTCCTTGTTGTGGTTGACGGTCAATCAACGTGCACGCCGTCATTTTCATAAACAATCGTTACACTGTCCGGACTTGAAAAATTAAAATGCACCTTTTGATGAATTAGACGCCATCTTGTCCTGTTGTGATCCTGCTGCTGTGTTCAAATGTCAACCATTCTGACGTTTACTGACAACAAGTCACTCGATGATAAAAACAAGATATTTTGGCTACTTGTAGAGACGTCGGCCATCTTTGTGAACAATCGGTGGCACAGACACCAGCGAGACGCTCGTGGAGCTGCGAACTAACCTGCAGGCAGCAATTCCTCGAGTCTCATCGTTTCTCGGCTTCGCACCGAAAACGCTCCCATCAGAACTTCACTTTGGGCTCGGGATGAAGTCGCCGACACGTGTGGTGCAAACATTTATTAAAATCAAACCAAACAAACGGGAGGAAAATAAAAAGACGAAAAGCCACACGGAGCGTCTCTCATGATCCACACAGGAGTCCAAACACAGTGAGCAACTCGATTGCATTTCTCTTGTGCATATAAACATTTTTAATTTATTATATAAAAGAAAGCGGCCTGGCCGAGTGCAACGAACAGGTATGAGGCTTAAAAAAAAAATCCAGGCGCTGCTGATCAGCTGCTTCAGTGCAAACGCAACATTCACCGTTTCAATAATTCAGGTAGTTGATCCATTATTCAGTGTTTCGTACTGTACAGGCTCGGAGCGAGCACACGCCTCACACACAAACGCTACCCGGGTCTTCGTGAGCCGTTCCACCAAAACCACACTCTGATGTGAAAACAACTTAAAGTCCGTTTTGATTTCCTCGGCAGGAGTTCAGCTCGGACCCGACGACCGCGGGAAGGAGAACAAACCAAGAACATAAATCAACGTTCAGTTTTCTGGAACTTTTCATCAACTGGAGGCGACGGCTGCTCCTCGGCGCCAGTCCGGAGTTTAAAGGAGGTCCGAGGCCGTGGGGTGAAGTCAGGAAGGCGCCCCCCCACCTCCCCGAGGAGCGTCTCCGGTCGTGTTGGATGAATTCGCAGGAGCTGGTGGAGCTCGACCCCCTCCGGAGCACGCTTGAAGCTCACTGCGGACGCACACACAGACAGAACTGAGCAGGCGACAAACGAGAACAACCGGGACAAACCGGACGAGCAGCGTCGGGACGCTCCTGGTCCACAACCGGCCCTGAACTTCTTGAACTCTGACCTCAACTCATTTCAACTCAACACGAGGCCAAGACGGAACGAACGAGCGGTACGCCGCCGCCGCCGCCGCCGCCGCCGCCGAGGCGTTTGAAGAACGGACGTTTTGTGCTTTTTGGGACTGGACTTAAACGTTTGTGGTGCGAGATATTCAAACAGGCAGGAGTGACACTGTGGACCAGAGCAGAGGTCAAGAGCAGAGGTCAAGAGCAGAGGTCAAGAGCAGAGGTGAAGAGCAGAGGTCAAGAGCAGAGGTCAAGAGCAGAGGTCACCCTGCTGTGAGGTTGTACACCAACACAAAACGCCACTTTGTAGTCATCTCAATACGCTGGTGAAGATCGTCAACCAGGACGTGGGGAACTCAGAAAGGTCAAGACAAAACAACGGGACTTGATTTGTAACAGAACGCGTTAGAATCCCTCTCAATAAGCGAACGCTGCACCACCAGTCTCAAAGACATGTAGGCCTGCCACACATTTTACTGGGCGATTAATTCTCAATAATTATTGTGATAAACGACAATATTGTTTGAAATGTGACAATAATTACTAATTATTGTTAAATTTAAGGAGAAATGTTAATTAATTCTTATGTGTAGTACCTGTTTTGACCACTGGATGGCAGTATAAGATGGTTTGAACTGAAGGATGGATAGTGAGGCAGCGAGCAGCGTGTCTCTAAGAAAAATGGGAGGGAGGCCTCTTGACGTGAAATGGGGTGTTTTCGGTTCTCAAAATGGCGGACGATTGGTGTGGTTTGAGCTCTTTAGCATTTTTCACATAAAGTTTTTTTATTAAAAAAAAGTCAGTAAACAAAAGAAAAACAACTTTTTACAGGAAGGCACGAGTTTCAACCGTGAATTTTGGAGCTTCGACAAAACTGAGTTTTTTTCCGAGGTCGGCCTGTTAGCTTAGCTCGTAGCTTAGCTTAGCTTGTAGCTTAGCTCGTAGCTTAGCTTAGCTTGTAGCTTAGCTTAGCTTGTAGCTTAGCTCGTAGCTTAGCTGCTCTTAACGATCCAAAAACGTGATTTTAGACGGTTTAACAGATTTTAAAGAGAAAAGATAAAAGGGAGGGGTCAGTGAAGAACCGGAGTTTAGTTTTTTGTCCTCCATTGTCTTCAGTAGAAAGAGATGCGAAGAAACAATAAAGATGACAAATGAAAATGAGGTTGATAATTTTAATTTATCATGAGATTAATTGATTTATCGTTTATCGCGACAGGCCTAACTAACTACATTACCCAGAAGGCAAATGTGCTTTCTGCTGGAGGGAAAGTTTTGCTCTGATCGGACAAAGTTCGGTCCCAACAGTGTTCGTAGTGACTTCGGCGCTCAGTGGATGCAGAGCCGATCAGAACCGGTCCGAGGGCTGGGTAGGTCTGTCCAACCAGATCTGAGTCGGACCAGAATGGAGCTGCAGAGCTGGAGAGTCAAAAGGCGTTACTACTCGAGTGAATTAACATCAAGTTATCCAACATTTTTCAGTCAGGTCATCTGGACAGTTTCTTTTTTTGTGCCGAGATGGTTTCTGGAGTCCGCCCCCTCCACCGTCGACTCCTCTGAGGCAACCGTAGCCAAAGTGGTTCAAAACATCAAAGTTCATGCTCCATAATCCAGGTTAAAAAAATCCTGGTTTAAGTGTCTGAACCACTTTGGCTACGGCTGCCTCAGAGGAGTTGACGGGGGAGAGGGCGGACTCCAGAAACTATCTTATCACCATAAAACTGGTTGGTCCACTATGTGAGTGTGCTGCTTGTGGGACTCAGTTTGTTGTGGCTTCTCAGACTGATGAAGTCCTTTGGATGAAAAGTCTCAATAAAAAAAAGAAACCATCCAGAGGACCTGACTGAACTTTGTTGGATTTTTTTACCTGGATTACTGAGCATGAACGTCAGCAGGATTTAGGTGGGATGGGGGTGATGGTTCGGACTCCTTTCAGTCGAGTCAATCAAGAACTCTGAAGACCAAAGGGTTCTAGAGCCGAACGTGGATCCATCTGTCCGACAGGACCCCAAACACAGCAGCTAGTCTAGAACGGAACGGCTCTAAAAGAAGTTCTAGGTGTTCCTACGATCCAGTCCAAGTTCAGACCTGGACCAGACCCAAACGTTTCAGTTGGACCTTCAGAGTCCAGTGAAAACAGCCGAACCTCAACGGGCTGAACCAACGCTGGACAGAATTCCTCCACAAACGTGTTGGAGACGTGGAAACAGCTGTGAAGGAGGTTCAGTGGGCATCCAGATCCAGTAACAGATCCATTCACCATGAAAGCCAGGATCCAGTAACAGATCTATTCACCATGAAGGCCAGGATCCAG